GACCCAAGTTTTCCGATTACGGTGTATTTTATCCATTTGAAAAGGTTTTCTTCACCTTCAGTACATGAATCTTAACCAAGACCATTTAAGATTAAAAACTGGTTCGGCACTCAAATCATTTGGAAAAAAAAGTTCCAATGTTTTCCAGCTCGTGTAGATAAAATCCCTCCTGGGTCTCCTACCAAAACCTCCTTGTTGGTGTCAGCTGACTTCTGTCCACGTCATAATATGCACATGATCAAAGGTCATAATAAATCCCCGTAAAATCCACATCCCGGCGTGGACAGTATTTTCCCGCAGGAACGAGCGGCGTCTCTTTTTATTCCTGGATGTCAAGTTGTGATGGACGCACAGTGACATCAGCCGCATTACGATGATCAAAGCGTCCGTTTGATCCGCAGATTAAAGTTCAAACCATTGAGACAAACTTTGCTCCTCTGGCGACACGACGCGGCACTTTCCGCAAACTAACCCGACAACTGGATGGGCCTCGGCACTTAATGTGGCGCGACAGGGAGGATAAAGAAACTGCACTTTTCTCAATGTGATATGTGTGATAATAACATGGTCTGTGTGTGAGCGCTCTGCTGTGTTGTGACCCAAAATAAAAACCACATTTGGCGGGCAGAACTGGGTCACCCGAATTAGAGGGGAAACAACATGGAGCGGTGCAAAACATGTTAGCCCCTCCTCTACGCCTCGCAAAGGCACCACTTAAAATGATGGTTTTATGCGACGCCACCGGGACGTGAACAAAGATTAAGCTTCATGAAGGGGAGGGAAACAAACAAAGCGGGAACCTCACAGTGTTTTGCGGCTCTCAGAAGACCGAATTAGACTCCTGACGTGTCGTTTTTTTTCCTCCCAGTTCCCGGGAAGCAGCATCCGTGAGCGGCGAACGCTCATGAGCACGAAACGCGATCGACCCCCGGATGGAAATAAGCCGGTAACAAGATGAGAGACCCGTTTGTTTCCTCCCCGAAGGACAAGCAGCGGAATTTCAATCCTCAGAAAACACGCGCGCCTCGATCTGCGGCTTTGACCTTTCCCCCCCCGAGCAGGTTCGAGAAGGTTTAGAATGTGCATGCTACCGATGACGTGGAATAACAAAACGCGGCGCTTTCTTAAAAACAGCGTCACGGTTTAATCTCTCCGGTCGTAGCCCCGCCCCCCTCCCGCCTCCTCCGGCTTTGCGTTTCTCTTTCGTCTCCCTCCGTTGTCTCGGGCCACGCTGTTCCCTCTCCGCCTTCTCCTTCGCTTCTGCCCGTCTCTGCCTTCGCTTCTCGCTGCCGCTCTGCGCATCTTTCATGCCTGGGAAACCGTCTGTCACACATGGGGGAGGACCAATGACGGGGAGGGGGGGGGAGTCTCAAGGGCCTTTCACACTGAAAACCGAAGCTACTCCTCTGCAGGCTGTTTGCTTGAACAGGTTAATGAAGCAGCAGCTGTCCCAAAGCAGCAGCACGCTAACTGTTTGTATGAAACGTGGACGTGCACGTCTGTTACACGCAGACGGTGGTGGGAAACTCCATCAGACCGCAGTACAGAGAAATGATAATGAGATGTTCCTGAATGATGGATTGTCACTGAACAAACCTGTGGAATATTATTGACAATATTTTTGACAAAGTCCATTATAAGTGAAGTGGGTTTTTTTTTTAGTCAGGACTCGCTGAGCCGCCATCTCATCGTGGTTAAATGTCTCTTTTGATGCATCGTGCTGCTGATGACATAATTGTGCTTTGCATTTAACAAAGAGTTATTTCTCGAGTTATTGGCCTGGATAAGGAAAGATAATATAAATGCAAATCTACTTTGTGACAAAGTTTTCCTAATTTGTCTTTTTGACAGAACTTTTTTTTTTTTTTTTTTAAACAAAACCAATGAGCCTCTTATTGGGAATCATTGTGTGTCTTTATTTAAATTAATGATGTGTTTTCATTTAACGGGAGACTCCTACATTGATTCTAGATGGTCACACTGTTGTGGATGAACAGCGCGCCGCGAAAAAGGAGACGAATGCGTTTTCTTTGAACCCCTTGTGCCCCCCCCAGGAAAACTACTCACAGCGCCTCTCATACTCTCCAACTCTCCCTATGTCGCGTCCTCATGCACTCCCACATTTGCTGGTCCTCCCCCACCTCCCCCACCTCGCTGATGAGCATATGAACACGTCTCTCTCTCTCTCGGCCCACAGGCCATTTTCACACTAGGCTGATTGAATCCCCCCCTTTTCCCTTCAGTGTTCTCTGCTCTTGCTAAGGGATGGAGATGACACCATAAGGTCTCACCACCACACACATCTGGGTGCACATAAATGCCGCGGCAAACACACACACACACACACACACACACAGGAGAGCGCGTTGTCGTTCGCAGTTGGGAAATTGAGGTTGCGGTGACGTGCTGTACAAACACGGCTGTTCCTCTGTGGAGGTGGAGACAGGGGCTAATTGAATATATGAAAGCACCCGAAAGGACACGCACACGTGTGCACGTGCAGCAGTGCACACTGCAAACATTTCCAATATAAGCGAGATCGTGTGATATAAACACACAGTATCTAATAAATCTACACCCAATCGCATGCAAATTATAATATTCAAATCGCTGTTGCAGCAGTAAACAGAAGATTCTGATTGAGGAAAATGATAATGAGATATTCGCGTGTGCCAGAATTGCCTCGTTTACTCCCGAATTTTGAATCGAAAGACAGTCGACCGCCCTCAGGTGTGGACAAATGTCCTTACAGGTGGACCCGTCACAGAAGGACACCCACATCTGACAGCTGCTGTCCCGTAATCGCCTCCTATATTAGGGCCATTTGGCCCGGCCAGGAGTGTGTGACGGCGGATGATGAAGGAGCGTCGGCCTTCCAGGCTCGCCGGAACAAGACGTTTGACTCGGAGGGACGTAAAGTCTAACCGCCGTCCTCCCGGGGGCCCCCCCCCCCGACAAAACACCCGTATAAACAGTGCGCACACGGGCAGTCAAAACTACAGGAAGTTATTAATGGTCAGGTGTTCCGCTGCGAGCACTTCCCCGGCAAAGCTGCATCCCGCGAGGAGCCACAATCAGCCCCCCCGCGCTCGCTCGCTCCCCGGCAATCATTTACAGCGGCACCAGCTGCCCAATGTCCTCCAGGACAAACCGGACAGGCAATCCCGTAATAGTCTTCCTCGCTGTATCTCGCTTGATTTAAGTCGGTGCAGCAGTGACGGACCTTCAATCAGTCGGTTTTATCATCCGAATGGAGCGTCAGACTCCGAGGAAAAGACCCTAATGGGAGGAGATGGGGGGAGGAAGGGGGAGGAAGGGGGAGAGGGGGTTTCAGGTGGCTATAAATCTGCCGCACAGGGACCCTTCACTGGAAAGCACACAAGCGAGAGCCCGGTGATGGATAACCCTGCCGGGGTAAAGGGTATTGATACATCCGTCAGAGGCGCCGCGCTCCGCCGCTCGAGATGAAGCCCAAAGGTGCGAACGCAAGGAGAGCGAAAGAAGACGAGGACGTTGGGAAGTTAGCTCGGCACAATAACGTCCCCCGGCGCGGGTTGGATTCGGTTGCGTTTCCATTTCCACGCTTTGGTTATATTTTGCGCTCGGCGGGACAGAAGTCTGAGCTGTTTCCTTATACACGAAATGTCTCAATCCCACAGCGATCGCCGCGGTAACGCCGACGCGTCTCGCCACTAAACATCAAAAACCAGCCCAGCAGTCACAACCGACGAGGCTCCCAATCAGTGGATTCTTTGTGGGCCACTTGGGGTGCACCAGAGAGGAAAGTGTACGCGCACAGAGCGTAATCGGACCCGACAGACCCGTCTTTCACCCGTCAGCTCTCGTGGCTTCGCGGTGACTCACGTTTTTTTTAGGCCACAATTCATTACGTCCAAAAACTGGACTAGAACTAAAACTGTAGGATTTGTTCTCCTCTATTTCTACCGATGTGTGAGGAAGTTCACCGATTCTTCTTCACCGGGACCATTTGGCGCCAACGTCCTTTTAGAAGCCATTCCACTACATTTGTATCGTGCACAATGAAACTGCCTTTTCTGTTGATTTGATTGATTTGTGATGATGTAATGATGACGTCAGGGGGCGTCGGCTATTTAAATGTCACCTGAGTAAGGCCAGGGGTGTTTTCTATTTCGAGAGCGGAAGGAGATATTATTTTTGACTTGTTGTAGGAGCCTACGCATTACGCATTGAATTCTCCTTTTATTTTGATTGTGATTTAGGTTGTTTTTGCCGAACAATAAATAAAGAATTTTGAAGTGACAATACGAGCAAATGCGCGTTGATTTTACCGACCGCTCCTACAGTCCTCGTGCGAGAGAGATAAGAGCTTCTTTGCGCGCGCACACGTTCATATTAGAAGATGTCATTATTGCCGTATATATAGAACTCATGCATGGACCAGTGAATAACATAGAGAACATTTTCTGCGTGGCATTAATGTGGGATAATGGATTCAACAATGTATTCCGCTCCAGCGACATATTCACATTTCTCTCACCCAACTTCGGTGGACGATTTAATGCGGCCGCCCCCCCCCGCAACTCGCTGCGAATCAATGTCCATTAAACCGACTTGAGAGTTTTAAATATAACTGGATTCCCTTTCCATTAAACCTACTCCTGCACCGATGGGCAGCGGGGGGGCCGTGGGGGGGGGGGGGGCTGCTCTCAGAGCGGGATGCTCATTAGAGTGACACGTCGGGCTCCACCACGCACAATGGCTGCCGTGTGGTTGTCACGGGGCAATTTTGGAGGCCTTCGCTTCACCAGCCGAAGCTTCGCAACGGGCTTCCCTTGCGAGCCGCGCTTCACGCCGGTGAAGGTTTCACAGCTTCACACCCGGGCCGGCTGTCAAGCTCAACCGCGGGCCCTTTGCACCTGGCCAGAGAGCGGCGGCGTTCTTTCGAGGGCGCGGCGGCCGAGCGAGAACCCCCGCCTGTTTTTTCCGTCGGAAGAGCAGAGGGATGATACGAGTCTTACCTCCTCTCCCGTCAGGTAGTACGCTGCCAGCAGGCCGCCGACGTAACGGATGTTCACCTCGAAGAGGGACGCCTCGCCGTTCTGTCGAGACCGAGAGAGAGAGAGATCGAAAACGTCAGATGTCATTTTTCGGGGCCAAAGGGTCGGGCGGTAAAGCAGCGCGCCGTTTGTTAGTGGCAGAGTTAAAACGGCAAAGTCAACCCGAGCTGTTAATAACCCACATGTGAGTTTTTACGGTAAGTCAATCATTTAGCCGCGATCGCTAATAGATAAACGGCCCTCAGAGGCTCCACGGCAGCCCAGATGTGGATAATGATGCTTTATTATTTCCATCCCAAACTGGAGATGGAGTTAAATATCTGTGGATTAAAGAAAGGTTACACAACCTACACAGAAACACTGAGACGGACGTGTTGAATGTTGAAATGGTGCAAAAAAAAACGACAATGAGAGCAGGAGAGAAAATATCATATTGGAAGCGGAGGTGCCAAATGAAAGGTTACACATTTTAAACACCTTTTTCATTATAAATACCTTTTAAAAAAGTTGTTAATCTTCATGCCATCTGATTGACATAAGGCTCAAAAGCTACGCCGGAAATGTTCTGAAAAGGTTAGCAACATTTGTCCCACTAACTCGGGTGCTGATGGATGAGACTTTTATATTATGCATGGAAACAGAGTGATGTTATACAACAGTTACACATTTCTTAAAGGCGCCTCTAATTGTACAAACTTTGCCATCGACAATATATTTTTGTAAGGAAAGGCAATGCCGCAGCGTGTGAATCCCCATGACAACAGCAAAAGGTGGTTGCTAGGAGATGATTGACTATTTCATCAACCTCATCGTCTCTCATAAGGAAATTGTGATGTGTTCACACGTCTGTGGCAGAATAACACAATGATGATGATAACAAGCCAATACAGTCGTGCAAATTCAGAATCAGCATTGATCACCAACAACAAAGGGTCAACATCAACGCATTAACCAATAAGATTCCCTCTCCAAACTAATGTTTGACTCAAGTAGAACTTGAAAAATGCCATATTTGTCAAAAAGCAATTATTCATATTATAAAAATGAATAATACAGAGAAATTTATTTCAGATCACATATTTTAAATCGTTAAATAACAGACGGATATTTGAAAAAAGCCCAAACATTTCTTAAACGTGTGTTGATTTGAGGTTCGACTGCCGCTCTCTCAAGAATGTCGCCACGTGTATCGGCCTCTTCTCTGGAAAAGGTCACGGCCATTTTCACCCATTTTCTGGAAAGCTTGACTTTCAGTGCGGTAGATACAAGAGCGTAGCTAATTCAACCCGCCCTAAATCATATTCATTATTTCAGCTATGACAGACACAGAGCTAAGATGCCATTTCTGTTTGCCAACATTAAATATATACGGCCTATTTATTTTCTACATAAAATACAAAATAAGAGGCAGAACTGAATGTGTTTGAATATATCACCATAATTATCGCCTTCTACGCCGGCTCCAGGTTGAAGCTGTCTGAACTCGTGGAGACCCATCGAGAAGGAAATTACTATCTCAAGTGTTGATGATAAAGAACTTGTAATTGGGTGGTGGGGAGGGCAATTAGCGGCACAGAGGGGGGGCTACTGGCATTTGTTGAAATGGGTGTGTATATATATATATATACACATTTATACTTGGCATCAGAAAATCATCCAAAGTGTTTTCTGTCAGTCATTCCTCAACAGGACTCCAGCCCCATGTTGACAAATAAACAACTTTATTTGTACCTGTTGACACGAAAGAGACCAACACAAATAAGCAAGTGTCCCACCAAGTGTGTCAAACTATGTTTTTCGGGTTGTGGAACTCTTTTGACGTTTTACGACCACGGTGCTGACTCCGCCCCTGAGGAGTCGAGCCGTCTCGCCAATCGCCAAATGAAAACGAGGGGGCCCATGCGAGCAATGGCTGGTACGGTGGCGGTGATGAGGGACAGAGTGTCCATTCGTCACGGGGGACAGCAGGCCAGGCAGCGGATACAATGAGGGAGGACAAGCGATGCTGGCAGAGGATTTGCTAATCATACTTTTATTTCCCTGTGCAGGCGCAATAAATCACCCAGCGGGCTTAAATAACAACGGGAGGATCCCATGAGGTGTATTTGGATAAAAACAAGCCAAGCAGACTTTTTGTAAAGAGTTTTGTGGTTTTTGGGGCTTTTTTGATCACATTTATTTTTTAGGAACGACTAACACGTTGCTTCCGTGAAAATGAGGCATCATGAGGCCATTAAATCAAATAAAAAAGGCAAACGCCGGGGGGAAAAAAAGCACACAAAAACACAACACAGCTTCAACCGACATCATCACATGCGAGATTAAGTTGTCTGAGAGGCTGTTTAGATATTCTGCATTTTATGCAAACTGCACAGGAGGTGAAGCTGAGAAGGGGGGAAAATAAAAAGCGTCATTTCAGTTTTAGTGACAAATTAAGTTTCTCAAAATTTCTGGTAAAATGGATGTTTTCATCCGGCTGAAAGCCCAGTGATATTCCTGAAAAAAAAAAAAATCAATGTGAAGCAGATTAAAGACAATGATGGGAAATGTCAACATGAATAATTCAGTTTCATTCATTGATTATCCGTTTGTCCTCCTCGAGCCCTAATGCGACTCGCACTGAGTCGTCTCAGCTTAATACAGCATTAGACCCAATTCATAGGTTCTATGTTTTCATTTTCCCGTAAAAGAATCCCGAACGCATCGCAAGGAAATCGTAAGTGGTTCCCGGGAACCATTTAAACCCCCCCTCTCCCCCAAGAAGCCTTTCGAGGAAGTACTCCTCTCCCACCGAAACAACCGGGGCGCCGTGAAAAACACCTGCCGCTCTCTTCCCTTGTCTCTCTTCCCGGCGCTCCGGCTGAGGACATAATTAAGAGGTAACACGGGGACGTCGGAGTAAACACGGGAGCGAGAACCGCCTCTGCCACTGAGAGGGAAATGATGATTACTCAGCAGCAGGAATGCGTCTGCGCTGCACAAACAACCTCGTTCCCGCGCAAACATTTCGCCGGAGCTCTCGGGCTCCGCGGAAAAACGAGTCTCCTGCGTCGCCCCCGTAAGGAACGCGGCCACCTGTGCACCCGGGCCTGCAGAGTTCAAAGCGTGGCCTGCTCTGCAGCAGTATCTCGTGGTGGATTTCTACAAGGCCTCACGTGTTTTTTTCATGTGGCAAAGATTCGCCTGATTGCCCCCCCCGACCGCCGCGTGCCAAGGAGCCGGCTAATGCGATGATTTACTGTTTACAAAATGGCCTCGTAGTCGCTGCGCGGGTTTTAAATTTCGCCCGCCATCTCGAAAGGCCGAATTAGCCCAGAAGAAGAAAAAAAAGAAATGATTGGATGAGTCTGATAAAATGAAGCAGATGATTGCCTCCCCGACCGGAGCTGCTGATTCACACTTAAGGCCGTGATTTAACTTAACACCGCTAATTAAACATGGGAAAATCATGAAAGGGACCAATTAGATCGCGTTTCTCTAATCTCCGTCGGTCCGTCGGTGCCCGAAGCCGCCGCCGCCGCCTCCGGCTCAAAGGAGTTCCCCCCCCCTCGAGGCAGCCGGTCTCCGCCCGGCTACTTTCACCGGGAGAAGAAGAAGAAGAAAAGAAAAAAGGAAAAAGAGCCGTGGATGTTTTTCCACGGTATAGTAATTACGGCCTTGATCGGCGTCCAAGCAGCGCGAGCGGTCTGCAGGCTTTCGCGTTAATGACCACTAACCTCTGGAGCGTGCTGAACAGCCTCCTCTAATGCAGCAGGGAGCTCTTCACTTCGTGCTGGTATTAAAAAAAATAAAAGAAATCACGAGCCCACAAAGCTCAATGTTCTGCCTCGCCGCAAAGAGTGTTTGGAAATCACAGTTCAAATCTGCGGGTGATTAAAAAGCTACCGAGCGCCGTGACAAATTCCGTAATTGCGTTGATGGATGTTTGCACTTTTAATATTGCTTTAGGATCATATACTGGTTTAAGAAAGAGGCTTTTTTTAATTTATTTTTTTAGACTGACCCATTTCCCTTCTATGAGCTCAGCCTGATGGCAAATAAAATGAATAATTCAGCTAATCAAAAAGAGGCAGCGTTGGCCGTCAGCGAGAAGCTCCTTTTTAATTTAACAATCAAAACAGATCAGCGAGTCGCGTCTCTTAGTCTGAAGCCTTTTCGTTCAAAGCGTGGTGATTTAAAATGGAAAGTGACTGTTTCTGATTTTTTCGGAATAGCATTTTAACTGACAGGCATTGGCGCCTAACGCTTATCAGTCGCAGTACATCAATTTCTACTCCTTTTATGGGACTGCTTCTTTCTAGCTACGTTCCCATGAGGCTTCTCTGCGAATTGTGGGGGGGGGGGGGGGGGCAGATGCTTCAGCGAACACCTCCTCCCATCCCGGACCAATAAACCCGCAATGAATGCTGCGAGCACAGAGGCATTAAGGCAAACCATTGGCTAATGGCGTACATCTCATCGGGATGTTTAGCATTTCATTTCTTTGTAACACTTCTTTTTTTTTGGCTTACGTCTCCTTAAACATCACGGAATAGATGCGTTCACACCGGGGAGAGAATGTAAACATCTTTACCGAATGCATTAAACTGTAGATTAACCGCCTGCAGAATAATTCATCAAATATGCAAGAGTGATGAATCATCAGAATCACAAGCCCTCCATCTTCTCCCTTCACATCCTCCGCAACCCGGAAAATGTGTCAATCCACGTTCATCCATTTTTTTAGCGTCTGGTCCTCTTGACGCTCGGGCCTCCTCCACGCTCCTCCGCTGCGTCCGGCCTCGCTGACTGAGGCCCCCTCCCCCGCCGCTTTGAGGCTGACGCCCGCAAACTGGAGCTGCCTGGCGCCCCGCTGCGTTCAGGACGAGGCGTTAAAACGCTCGGCTGATGCAGCCGAGGTCATTAACCGAGCTAATTACTGCGTCAATTACAAACCATTTGGATTCCACGTGCTTGTCGGAAACGTTCATTTGCAGATTTATGACTTTGCAGATGAATCCCTTCAAGACTATTTCCAAAAATAGCTCATCCTCAACATTCAAGGCACTTTCCCACCAACGCCGGAGGTTCATTCATTCATATTTTCCAATCTGCCATTTCTATCCTCATCTTATTGTTGCAGTGGGGGAAGAAAGAAACGGAGAATGATGTCAAACCGGCTGGTAAATACTCGTAAGGACGAACCACCCATGCAAAATGTCCTCTGCCCTCCGCGTCCCGAGGCGGGTCGCCAGCTCAGCCTGACCTCGGCTCCGGTGCGCTGAAGCATCTCCCACCTCCGTAAAATGACACAGTTTTTCCGTCAGACGCCTCGGCGACCCAGGTCGGGTCTCGTTTAGTGCAGGAAATAAGGTCAGCGGGGGGGCGGGAGGCGGGGAAGAAAGAACCCAGCTGCGCAAAGGTAATCAACCCCCTCCCTCCTCCTGTTTCCAACTGATGCGACTTGATGCCGTCCACGGTTAGTAGTGAGCCTTGAGTTACCGCGGGGACAGCCTGACTATACGTGTGGTTGCTCCGAATATTTCACGGTAATAATCCAACACATGCTCTCGGTGGCCCGAGGCGTTTGCAGAGTTGAACTCAATCATCAATTACGCTTAAAAATAGTTGCCGAAGCCTTTCCCTCCACTGGCGGCGGAGTTGCGTCGCTCGCGCTGCGGTTGTCTGCACAACAGAGTGTCTTTGTAGCCAGTGAAATGCTGCCGGCAACCTGTGAGACGATTGGACCAAGTTCCTCTCCCTCACCAAACTTTCCCTGACTTGTGAAAGTAGTGCGTCTGCAGGCTCCGCCTCGCCTCCGGGTGCAGCGTCCTCCTGAGGTTAAGCGGATCGTAAGCAGCAACAGTGAGTCAATTACATGTGGATTATCACAGGACAGATATAAATAAACGCTTCAGCTATTTTCAATCTGCAGGCTGGATCTCAGTTAAAAACTGAGACCCTCAAGCTAATGTCGCCTTTTTGTTCTGCACACACACATCTCCAGCTGACAGCTGACAGATTTCTTTCTCTGAGATGTTGCGAGGACACGCCGAGAGGTGAAAAACTTCCCACAAAAGTTTCAAGAAAAACACTGCGATATTCTGCTTCATTCCGCTGCTTGGCACTTCCACTTTTGTGCTTTTCTCCACATTTCCCTCCAAACAACCGGACGACTGCAGCGACGGCGCAGCGGTGCACGCGGCGGGCCGCCGGCCACCACCGCGGCTTAGCATGTTAGCATGCACTCAATTAAAGAGGTGGAGATGTTAATATGAAGATGGAAAGATTAAAAGGGACACAAAGGGGTTGACTATGGAGCAGGTACACGCACGTAGACGGGGTTAGTTGTTGAGGGATTTCCTCTGCACACGGGAAGGAAAGTGCAGAAAACAACCACGTCAGCAACAACACGGCGCCGATCTCCAGCTTCCCCCAATGAGACCCGCGGGACTCGGTACCCACTCGAGTGTCGCCTGAGAGGTGGAATCACGGCCTGGTTGTGCTAATTACGCCGACACTTTGCCGCCCTATCAGGAGTTATTGCCTGTGAATGTTGCTACTCGAGCTAAAGACGCTTGATGGGAATCATGAGGGGGGGGGGGACACTTTCCCTGAGGAAGAAAGAAAATACGCACAGAGGATACAACTAAGTGAGCCGAAATACTGCGAATGTTAATGTTTTATTATTAGACTGTGCTACAATACATGCTTAGATTTTGTCTACTGAAAGTAAAGCTCTGGAATTCATACTCATTCATACTATTAACAGGTATTTTAATTAAAGATGAATCCGCCTTTAAAATTCTAAATTTAACGATGAAAAATATCCAGGCTGAATTCTTTTTAAAATTTGAATCCATTTTTCCTCTTCGAATCCCATTAAAAAAATGACACGACACAAATGTAGAGAGCAAATATTGAAAATAAAACCTCCTCTTTGCAGAACACACATCCAATCACAATAAACAATAAACCAATCACACCACACAAATTCACACCACAAAGCAGATGGAAAAGCCCCAAAAACACAGTAGGAGTAGAATTACCAATTTCATCTATTCCCATTGTGTCAAATACATTTCCCGATGAGAGAACCGGACAAAGAGAGAAGGTCAAAGTCAGTGGACGAGTGAAAGAGGAGGCGTAATAACATCTGGGAGGCAATGCGATCCTACATTAACGTCCTCATCTCTTAGATGAGATACGCTGTAACGACCAGCAGGAGGAACATTTCCGCGCCACAATTCACAGGTCACGCGGCGCTGATGGAAACCTCCTCGCAGTACGGCAACGTACTGCCCTGGCACGTCACACCGGAGAACCCGCGGAACGCTAACTGGCTGTGACGATGCCAACGACTTCTCCAAGCTTCGTGCAATAACAGCTTGTGGGTAAATATGCCAGAAGCCTTCGGCGAACGTTCTGCCGCTTCTTTGGTCTCGGTAATTGGTCCGGTCCGTCTGCCCGAGCAGCTCGCCGGCGTCCGCACGAGGAGCCTGCTGTTTGGTTTGAAGTCGGACGTTTAAGACACGAGGAATGACGTTTTTTGTTTTTTTTTAAATATGTTGCCTTGCTAAAACCAGAGATCTGAAATCTGAACAAAAGTGGGGAATTCAGCTATTGACTGAGATCCTGCAGCAAACTCTGCGATGTGTGTACTGTGCTGTCTGCGTCTGTCCGTCCCTCCTTGTCTACTGCACGAAGGCAGTACGAACAGAAAGTTGCATGAACTATTGCATATTTAATCTAAAAGAATTTGAAGATCTGCAACTAATTTAAAACCGTTCCCGGTTGTTGGTGAAGTTCTACAAAACACATTGTAAACATTAATAATCCAATCACAAGGTAATCTGTACAATGTTATTATGACATTTGCATTGCACATGTAAAACTGAGCCTACTCCCAAGACAGAATCTTTTTTAATATAAAATGATCAAAGAATTATTTATTTTTAGGGGGGGTTATAAATGAGAGTATTATTGACATTGCATTTTCCAAGCAGTTGCTCTTATGCTGCATGTATTTCCTTAAGTGGTATCGCAATAAAATTAGGACATCAGAAAACATCCGCAGGCTCTTGGCAAGCTCGCTGAACCAAGTGCATCTGACACAGTGAATATCGAGCCAGTGAGTAATTCCTCTTCACGGCAGGGGGTATAAGGGGGGGGGGGTTCACATCCATACTGAGCAACGCAGTTCAGTATCAAAGTAATGATATCCTGTGACACACACACGTACTTCTCAAGTGTAGTGCAGACACACTGAGGTGTTATATCTGAAAACACTTCAGTCTACAACGGGGGGGTTGTGCGCGCTCTCTCTCTCTCTCTCTCTCTCTCTCTCTCTCTCTCTCTCTCTCTCTCAGATCAACCGTCACTTCATCCAACATCACTTAACATTATTTCTGGGAGATCCACCAATGATAAGTCATGACTAATGCCTTGTGTATGCGTTAGCTTACATGGTCAATAAAGCTGATTCTGATTGTGATGACTATTTATCCCGCAGGGGGTGGAGTGGATGTACCCACCCCCCCCCCCCCCCATGCATAGACATCTAGTGTAGAAGCTTTCCTTTCATGTGTAGATGAAATTAAAGCTAACCACGGATCCCCGGAGGCTTTTAGCATTGGCAGCGATGAAGATGTTGCTCAGTTCCACGAGATAAAAGCGCGTCGAAGACCCAATGTTTGTGTGCTTTTGTTCCTGATTGCAACTGGGGCGGCTCCCCAGTGGAATATTGGTCTGATGATATCTGTTCCAGCACAATGCTGTGCTGTTGAAATGTACCCGGGCGTACACGCTTTTCTTTATTTTAAAATTCTGATGGACTAGAATTTTTTGTCGGGTAAACAAATCTTTTCATGGCGGAGGCATCTGACACCTTGTCAAAGCAGGCAGGGAAAAGGTGTAATCATCGCCTTGTGTCTTCAGTGCGCCGCTGACAGTCATGATGGGAAAGTCAAATATGTAATTGCACGCGCAACCCTCACTTTACTCCGACCGGTGGGAAACCAGACCAACCCCCCCCAAAAAAACGCCGACAAACTGGCCCTTCGACTGTCAGAAAAGACCGAAGCCCCACGAAAGGCCTTTCTAGGAGGCAGAGAAGTTGGTACCACGGCCGCCGGCCACACAGGAAGCTTTTGATTCCTTCTGGAAGGTCTCCGGCTTCGGAAGGCCGTCGAACCCGAGCGGACACGTTGTTGCCGTTGGAGCACAACGGCTTGTTCTTGAAATGGTTTCTTACCGAGTTGAGGTCCAGGCTGGTCTGCACCCACTCCTTGGCATCGTTATACTCCTCCGTCAGTCCCATGATATACAGCGTGTCCAGGGAGTCAATGATGGAGGCTCCTCTCAGGCCACCTGCAAAACGCACCAGAGAAGCGAGTTAGTGCCGAATCCACCCCGGTGCCACCCCCGGCGAATCAGGATCCCCCCGATTACGTTCACACGCCGCAAGGCCGCATTGACGCCTGCCTCAAAGTTCCCGCGGCGAGATCGCTGCTTCTGACGGGGCTCAGAGGCTCGTGCAGCCCTCTCGCCCACACCGAGGAGAGCAACCGGATCGCACCGGTCAGCGACCCGCGTAGGCCCAGGGAGCCCTCCACCCCCCACCCCCCCCACCCGGGACCAAGCTTCCAACACCCGCCGCAGAGAACGAAGCGCCGTGGCCAAATAAGAGACGCTCTGACGGCAACAGACACGTACATTCCCCATGGTGCTTTTTAGGAATGCTTTATATGTCAGAGCGCATAACATGAAACGACAGTTGACGGATTCAGTGATTGTAATTTCATTCTCTTTTAAATTCTTTACAGAATGTTATAAAGTATTTGGAAGATTCTTACAAATGCTTTGTGCTGGAGGTGAGGAAGCAACTCGAGGGCGTGAAAGGAGACAAGAATCTAAAAAAAAACGACGCTCTTCCGTCTCCACATTAGCGTTTGCTCGAACTTTTGAACTTACGTGACTTTAAGGCACAATATTTCAGTCACCAATCCTTGAGATGGTGAGCGGATGGAGTTCCCTTCTTCTAGAAACTCAATCACCACACCTCATTGTGTCTGATTAGCAACGGCAACTTTGGTAGAGACAGTAAAGTCCCTTTTACGGTAACCTTCCGTAATCGCCGCAGTGGAAGCCGAGCGGTGACACGGAAGCAGCTGCGTGCGGCCCCCGGATGAAAAGCACCGGCTACAAAGCATCCGTCACCGCGCCGGTTAGGAATCAAGCGCCAGAGGGGACGAGAGAACTGATGATGCACTTTGATACGGCAAACGTTTAACAGCTGCTCCCGGGTCACACTTTGGCGTGCGTGTTACCTTCGTTAATTCGGCGTGCGAATGAATCACACGTGGTGTTTAAAACACGCATGCGCGCGCGGCTCTACGCTGAAGGGTGTTTATTCCAAGCCGACGGGCCTATTTTCACTTGCATATGACCACGTAAAGAGACAACTAGGCACAACGTAAAATGACTATTAGTGCCGCTAAATCTCCGAGATAAAAAAATGTTGAGGCTGACCTGATTAAAGGATTTTAAAGTGATGAAAAACCTCCCCGCTCGTCACGGCGCAGCGAGCAGGCGATGGCTGCCCTGATGTGATGCAAGCGCACGGCAACCTGGCTCATCAAAGCGCCGCAGTGTTCGTCAGGATTATCGCTGCAGCTCGGTAACCACACCTTTGGGCGACAAAACTCTCGGCTCTACGTTTTTTTTTCTCCGGTCTCTGGTGTGTTGCACGGAATGACGCAAGGTTGTGACTGATAGTGACATTTAGTTCAGTTTAATTGGTTTTCTTGACCAACTTGCGTCCACTGCAGATGGTACTTCAGTACCGTCCGATCGGACAACCTCAGCACCACTGACCTGTCACCTCCTCTTCAAACCTTCACGGATCAGCTGATGAGGTCAACCTGGATACCGAGGGCGCCACAAGTCCCGCTCTATTAATGGTCTAAGAGGCGGAGAAACACCACGCGAATCACTGGTAAAGCCGCGTCACATGACTGGGAGCTGACTTTGGGATTATTCTTATGTAGTTAGAGGTAGAAACATCTGCCATTGTCCTGTTACTGCACTCAGTGTCGAACCAGAAAGTCTTCCAGAGGAAGTACGGTCCGCAAACGTCGCCTCGGGGGGGGGGGGGAGTTCTCTTGCAGCCCTCTCTCTCTCCTGGATGACACACAGTGGTGGTGACAGCTGAGGCTGTATTCATACATCTAATGCACTCTGGTTACTCGGGCCCAGAGGCAGCAGAGCTGTCGGGGGCCGCGGGGGAGAAGCAGCGGCGAGAGGGGGGGGAAAAATCCCCGTCGAGAAAGCACCAAAGACGAGATGATTGATCGACTCTGAGGACAGACGGAGAGGATCGATCCATCATGGTGTTCTCCTCCAGGTTCCCTTTTTATATCTGTGTCCCTTTTCTACAAACAAAGGGGCCTCGAGGGACCCTCCTACGAGACGGGCGATAGGTGTTTATTTATAAATATTGATAAGCAGTCGCTCCCTGACAGGCTCCACGTCTCTTTATGCAATCCGGATTTCGTCCATAATGGTTTACTGGGATGTTAAATGCCCACGGCTGAAATATAATATATTGATACGTTTTAATAATATTTCAGGTCTGAGGATGAATCAGATAATGAGAATGAATGTTTTATTCCAAGAGTCCTGCAACAAATCAAGTATGTTCTTGGGTTTGACAAACGTTTACTCGGCTCAAAAGCCTTTCGAATGAAAGATGCACGAAACAAAAGGTGAAATCATCGGTTTAGAACCCGGAATACCAGCTGGGAAAAGCATGCCGACTGGTTTCGATCATTTGAAATGTGGCGGTTGTGGCATTATAAGCTAATAAAAGTGTGTGTGTGTGTGTGTGTGTGTGTACATGGAGAGCCGTCACTGAGACATCGGCTCGTGGATGTTCATTTTTCATGGCCGTCACAGGCCAGTCATTGTCGGCGGGGGAGGGGGAGGGAGGGGCTGGGGCAGCGGAGGGGGTGGGGGGGGGGGGGGTTTACATTAGTCGGCGAGGGTCCGCGTGATCAATCCCTCGCCGCGGCCCGTTTGTGTGCTGTGATATTACTCGCCTCGCTTTCTCCTCCGCTCTCTCTTCCACTCCTTTATTTCGTCCCCCAGGGGAAAGTTCACAGGCAACATTTCTGCTCTAATTTCATTTAACCAGAATAAATTGTGCCTTAATGTGCATACGAAATGTGCGCTGAATGTTCCTGAAATGCCATCAGTGAATTTCATTGACTGGGCACATTAAAGATGCTTTAGAGTAAACCGGATAAGAATAATAGGATTCCAGAGATGAAGTGTTTTAATACACCCATTAGGGAAAACAGGAGTTATATCACAGCCATGCAGGTATTTTTCATGCGAGCTCGTGACTCGTGGCACAGAATAAAAAAAAGAATAAAATATCAAACACGATGTCAATGAATCTCCCACGTCAAAGTGAATATTGTGCATGCAGACGCTGGGATTAATTACACTACACCTTGTTTCTGCCGCTAGCCAGTATCCACTCATCCATCGCCAGGGCAACGTGCATCTTGTTAGGGTTAGAGGCGGGGTCAGCCAGCTGCCAACGGCGCGTAGCCGTTTGCCATTCGAGGCACGAGGCGGCAGATTAAGTGCACTAAGGATATGACTCTGCGGGCGAGAGGGTTTTTGATGGAGACAACCAACGGTGCGAGAGAAGAAAGAGAGTTTAGAGGGAGAGGGATTAGGGCGGATTAGGCGAGCGGGAACACGAAAAAGGTCGAGGTGGAACGTTGTGAGAGAAATGTCACGTCGTGCAAATCAAGACGGACCTTTGTGAGGAAGCTTTGGATGCCAACTCTGTGCTTTAGTCTCCATGAAGAGCGGATGTCAGATAAATCCAGAGTAATCAATAAGCCGTGCGAAGGCATGATCGACTGGACGAGCGCTTATTTAAAAGTTGGCTTCTTGTAATCGTGACTGCAACCGTTCCCTCGGGTTAACTAAACCTGGCTATTACTCGTGGTCGTAACCATGACGACCCCTGCCCTTATCGTCAGTGTGACCCAGACCAGAATGCAAAGTTGCGCTGCCGTCCAACCTGAGGGGACTTTAAATCAGCTTTTTCACATCATGCATTTATTACAATGACTTATTATGCAGCTTAATGATGCATCGACACGTCAGCAAGACGTCTCCTTCCTCTTAACCTCCAGGCCGCGGTCACATGATCCGAGACGGAATCCACCCGGGCTTGCTGGGACGTAGCAGCCCACTGCCCCCGGATCGACAAAGAGGTCGAAGAAACGTGTCCAAGCGTCCCCTCCCCTCTGCGAGGGAGAGGGAAGGCTCGACGCCCGATGCCACGCGACGGACCCCCGTCGAGTGGCATCAAGACACTCGGGCGCCAGAGAGCCTCAGGCTGCAACGCGGTTTCTGCAGTGGAGGGGAGATTGAGGGACGCTGACCCCCCGCTGCGAGGAACACACGTGGATATAGCACCTGCGTCTAGACAAGAGCAGCGGAAAACATTTCCGGATGCAGGCAGCCGGGGGGGGGGAGGGCGGCGTCTCACCGCGGGGCCCAGACTGTTTTGGCCACCATCCAAAGACATAAAGAGGATCATTAGACGTGTGCGATTCAACCCTCTTTGACTCAAGACGGTGTGTTCCCTTCACTCGGGACAAATTGCCGCGTAGCGCACGTTCTCCAATCTAGCTTGAAGGACGTCTGATCTCCAGTAATGGCGCGATGACGACAGGTGCAGCTGTTCAGAGAGGTCGATTTACTGAGAAGAATAGTGTGGATCGGGAGGATGAGGAGAGCTTCAGGGGTCCCGTGGGTACCATCATCGCCGTGACCTTTAATCGAACGGCGATTGTTTGAGGCCGCAGGAACCAGTTAATCACCCCTGTGTTCTCCTGATCAATCAACTCAGTTTGTCCGTTGTCAGACAAATGTTTTGCTTCCTGAGCACTTCAAGGACTCACCAGAAGGTCAATTCATACTACTAGCGTGATCACTTGTTTCTGCACCTGAAGCCTGAGTTAAGGTAATATTGACAATTTCACTCTCAACAGTTTTTAAAAAAAAGAACATTTTGTTCAACGTTTCTTCCACAGAGTCGGTCCTGTGTGCCTGAACATTTTAGGTGGAATCCTTCACTTTCTGTGGATTCATCTGTACGAGTGCCTCGCTGCCATGGCTACCAGTACTGTGCAAATACATCCCATTACTGCTCTCCCTGCCCATCAGCTGAGCACACCATGGACCAAATCAGAGGCAACCAGTCCTGATTGGATCCGGGCTCACTGACCCCCTCCACCCCCACATCCCCCCCCCACACACACCCACGCTATCCCCATCAGTGT